CCCTACAGTAAGGGATCCTGCTGCCTCGGGGTCCAAGGTGGTGCGCAAGTTCCGTCACTCGGGAAAGCCTGCAGGAGCTCTTGCGCCCGGTGGTTTAGGGTTGAGGGTTTTGGGGTTTAGGGGTTTAGGGGTTTAGGGGTTTAGGGTTTAGGGGTTTAGGGTTTAGGGGTGTAAGGGTGTGGGGGTGTAGGGGTTTAGGGGTTCAGGGTTTAGGGGGTTTGGGTTTAGGGTTTAGTTGAGGAGTAGGAGGATTTTCCAATATCCCCTGAATTAGGGCACTGATCTTAAAGCACTGCGACTAAATCTTTCTGGTGATCATCCATCTACGACTATTACTGTTTCACTTGGAAACGCTCAACCTTTTGCTGCACGATCATGTCCTTAACCCTAAACCCTAAACCCTAACCCACCCAACCCGTGCAACCCTTTCCCTCCCAAGATGAGGAGCCACCATAGCTAGGACTAGCTGATCGGGTGTAGGTAAGATGATACGCTTGCACTCTCTTACATGTGGGAGTAGAATACAGTAATCCAAAAGCCACTAGAATCCAGAGGCAAGCGCCCTTCATCTTAAACCACCCTAAACCCAGTTGAAATCCTAAGCCTAAGGCCTTAAACCTAGAAGGGCCTGGAATCTAGAACCCTGCAACCCCAAAACTCCTAACTAAACCCTGAACCCATCTTAAGCCCAAACTCAGTGTGGCAGGATGTTCAAAAAACGACGAAACCGGCGCCGGTGGTCAAAGACGTCTTGGAGGTATGGCCTCGGAGGTTATGAGGTGTAGGGTCTAGGCGTTTAAGGTTTAGAGTTCCGGGTTTAGGGCCAAGTTAAGGGTTAGGATCTTTTGGTTTAGCAGGGGGTCTTCGCGTTTAGGGGTTAGGGGTGTAGGGATTGGATTGATTTCAGCATTCCTTCGTAGTCGTGTTAATTAAAGCTACAGCAGCATACAGCACATGAGTATATTTGGCATTTGACAGGCCTCGGGCCTCTTGAGGTGTGTGAGCACATCGGGTGAAGTGTTTTGGGTTTCGAGGGCACGTGGTGTTCAGGGTCTAAAATGAGAGAGATATACCCGAGACAGCAGGGCTTTGGGTTTGTGAGTTGCTAATAGCTAGTAAGTTTAGGGTTTAGGGTTGGAGCTCCTTTTGCAACTATATGTAGATAGTTTAATCATACGCTATGCAAAAACACTTGTTCACATTATATGTGTGTGCATGTGTTCCGGGCATGCTTCAAGGTTCAACGCTGTAAGGGGCTAGAAGGAGGCTTAGCTAACTTGAGCCCGTCTCTTTTGCAGAGTCCGAATACAATCAAATAGTATACATATAGACAGAACTATTTATTTACACATATGTATATGCATATATACATATTCGTATATATATATATATATACATACATATACACACACCCGAAATAACAGAAGCCATGATGAGGGCCGGACGGAAGCAGGTCTAAGTAGGTTGTGGTTGTTTAAGAAGGTCAAGGTCGACCGACGTACTTGTTGTTGCGGCGTTACAGGCCACCATGATGGGTTTTGAGTCGGGTCTAGGCCTGTCCAGGGGTTTAGGGTTTAGGGTTTGGGGTCTAGGTTTTGGGTTTAGGGTTTAGGGTTTAGGGGTTTAGGGGTTTAGGGTTTAGGAGTTAGGGTCAGTGCTGAGAGGACTTGTGGCTCGCAGGTGTGGGGGTGTAGTGCCCAGGGTCTAGGATAGGGGTTCGGGTTCCGGGATAACGGCTTAAGGGGCTATTTGCTTTGGCAACATTCATTAAGTGCTGCCCTTGAAAGTTTATGCATGCAAGCCGGTAGTTTCATGAGTTTTGTCTGTTGCGCTCCAGCAACCTCTGCAGAAAACAGATGCCCGAGTGTGTCAGTACCCTACAGCCGCCGTCCTGCAGCCGAAGAATCGGAACCCATTACTCTGGGCCCTACGGGCTTAAACTGTCCATGTCGACGCACGGTACTCAACCGAACCCCCGAACCCGAAACCCTAAACCCCAAACCTAAACCCTTAACCCGAAACCCTAAACCCCAAACCTAAACCCTTAACCCTACAGCTAACCCTGAGCTCGAAACCTTCACCCACAAGCCAAAGCCCTGCTTTGAAGGCAGTGTCCGTCCTCCTTGGCCAGCCCGAAACTAGGCCGGAATGCGGAGCTCGAAGTCCGGTTCGTGCAGGTTTAGGCTTTTTGGTTAGTATAGGGGCCTAAATAATTACTGTTTTGGGGGTTCCTTAGTATAAATATAAGATATTATGCCCTAAAACCCTATTCTAGTTATTAAGGCCCCTATATTAATTATGATCGGGGTTTGGGGTTTCCAGGGTCTGATTGGTTAGTGTGTCCCCCCCAAGCAGAAGGGAGTGACTCAATAATTTGTGCCCGGGTGCGGGCTGCGGACTAGGCTGGGGAATAGCGTTAGGACCAGTAGTAAGAGCAGCAGCAATACAAATAGCAAGACTAGAAGGAATAGTCGTTGAAATAGTACTACAAGTACCATTACTTGCACTCGTACTAGCTCTAGTATTAGTACAAGTACATGTAACAGTACTAGTGCTAGCACCAGTATTCGTACTAGTGCTAGCACTAGTACTAGCACTAGCACTAGTAGTGGTACTAGTACGAGTACTAGTACTAGTGCTGGTGCTAGTACTCGTACTCGTACTCGTACTAGTCACATATTAGTATATTAACATTACTCATAGTTTTGAACATCGTAGTATTTACTGTACTTCCAGTTATTGCTTCCGTATCCCTCTGATAAAGGCCGCAAACGTCGGAGATACATTCTGTAATTTCGGAAGCTGTGCTTCACTCCGGCAGAGTACGATATCTCCGTGGGATCCCTGCAGTGGTCCGCGCCTAAACCCTAAACTTGAAACCCTAAACCCTAAACCCTAAACCCTAAACTTGGAACCCTAAACCCTAAACCCCCTAAACCCCCTAAGCGCTATATCTTTTCCGCCTACTGGGACGATGCTCGGGAGCTTGCAGGAGCCGGTCCGGCACTGGAAGCCGAGTGGGTTTAGGGCTGGCAGAGTACAAAAGGAGCCTAAAGTATTTACCGATACTAGTTTGGGGTTCCATATTGCAACTATAGTATCCTATTCTAATGATTAAAACTCCTATAATACGCAAGAAAGAAGGCTTCCATGAAGAGGCAACGGTCACAGAAGGACCACTGGAGCCCTGCTTCCAAGACAAAAGCAGGGCCGGACAAAAAACTTCACCCTAAACCCTAAGCCCTAAAGCCTAAACCCTAAAGAAAACGAATGCAGGGGTCTCAGTCATGGGGGCACCCAGCACTACTCAGCCTCCCACATTAGGGGGATCCTTTTCTCTACATGGGCATAAACCCTAAACCCTAAACCCTAAACCCTAAACCCTAAACCCTAAACCCTAATCGGGGAGTTCCTAGCCCTGAACCCTTCACTCTGAACCTGATTTCGAGCCCTGGGTCCAAACCATAACCCTTATAAGTAAGTCTAAGTAGGGCCTGAATAATTAGAATAGGGTTTTGAGGTATATCATACTACAGTTATAATAAGGAGCCTCCAAAATAGTATAAGTAATCATTAGGGCCCCTACGTTATAGCATCTGGTTCATGCCTTCCGGTCAGACTCTGAGGATCCCTATATATGCCCCTATTCACAAAAGGCTGGGGTGAGGGGTGGGGAGGGTCTAAACGAGGGCAGACCCTTCGACACCCAAAAACCCTGTAACGCTGAACCCCGCAGCTAAAGTCCTAAGAACCCTTAAACCCTCAACCCGGAACCTGGAACCCCAAACTAAACGACACCCTAAACCCAAGCCCTAAACTCTAAACCCTAAACAAACTAAACCCTAGACCCCAAACCCTAAACCCCTGAACTCTAAAACCCTACGCCTCTAAACGCAGGTGGGACCGGCTCAAGCAGATGATCTCCAAGCCACAGTTCTTCGAAAAGCTGCAGCGGCCCGGGAGCCCAGCTCCCCTGCAATGAGCCCCCGAACTCCTCTATTTTTTTTTTTTTTTGGGGGGGGGGTGTAGGATTTAGTTTTAGGGCTTTAGGGTTTTAGGGTTTAGGGTTTAGGCTTTGGGGTTTTGGTTTTAGGGTCATTCTGCAATCGTTAGTGTTACCGTTGGTCCTATAACTTTACGATTATAAGCTATAGAACCTATGAGCCTATGAAGCGGTAAGTATGGGCGACAATCCTGGACAGTTGCAGGGTCTCGGGCAATATCACTCTGGCTAGTGTTGGAGGTGTTAGTGGTCCAGGGTTTGGGGAGTTTCGATGGAGGTTCAAGGCTGTTTTAACAAGGGATTAACTTCCAAAATCGTTGGCAAAGAAATCTACAGAGGCCTTTATCACTACATAACTACAATAGTGTTGGCCGAAAATTAAGAGACAAATATTGTGTTACATTTTGTCTCAAACAAGGAACCCACAAGGAGCAGCGCTACTAGCTAGTCCAGGCAACATTGTTCCCTGAAGCACCTCAATGTGCCGCGGGGTGCTGGGCTGGGGTCTCCAAGTGCGCAGTTTAGGAATAGGGTTTAGGTCTAGGGTTTAGGATTGAGGGTTGAGATGGGTTTAGGGTTTAGGCCGTCTTGAAGGTTTTGGGCCGAGTATAAACGATTACTGTGCTGTACGATGCTACAACTCCTGAATATTCAGACTCTCATATTTATTATGCCTCGCAGTCTGAGGCAAACTGTGATAATATGCGACTCGCGTCATCTTGTGAACCCTAAACCCTAAACCCTATCAGAAGGAAAACCTTGTATCGGCGGGCTAGGACAAAGAAAGCAGAAAACCCTGAACAGCAACCTAAGATCGTAACTGTAGTTTCGAAGGATTTCTTAGGCATGCCGTAAGAGCCACAAAGTCTACCTCAAATTGTTCTCCTTAAGACTTGGATCCCACACCCTGAAATCTACCCAAATCCCTAAACTCTAAAGCCCTAAACTTCCCTAAACCCTGAACCCTAAACCCTAAAGCCCTAAACCCTGAGGTCGCCTTGCCAGACCTCAGCTCTACCACGCGGTAGCCTGGGGGCAGCGCTTGCCTCGCCGTCGTCTTGACAGAGGGGTTTAGGGTTTAGGGTTCAGGGTTTAGGGCCTTAGAGTTTAGGGTTTGGGGTTTAGGGTTTTAGGGTTTTAGGGTTGAGGGTTTACATATGGACATGGTTAGAGGGTTCAGGGTTTGGGCTCTGTGGGGTTTAGGGTTTGGGAGGGCTGTTTTGTTTCATATGGGCCGGGTCTAGGGGTTCAGGGTTTGGAATGAAGGGGCTTAGGCTCTGGGGATTAGGCCTCAACTAGGTGACCCTTTTGAAGGGGTTGAGGCTTGTGGGAAGTTTGTCGCAGAAACTAATCAAACTAATCGTGTCGCACCCTAGTTTGGACCATTATAGCAGTATAGAGCACCTGTAGTAGCCCTATTTTGGACCATTAGTATAGAAGCTAGAAACGCTCTTTGAGACCCTTATAGCTGTGTAGAACCCTTTGTAGCAACCCTATTTTGGATCAGTATAGCTGTATATAGAGCCACTGTAGTAGCCCTACTTTAGAATCCTGAACTCCTCCAGAATCGTGAACTCCTAAAAAAGTCTGAACTCCTTAACCCTCAACTTACGACAGGAAGTTCACTAGGACCAGGGCAGGGCAGGGCAGGGCAGGGCAGGGCAGGCCACGCAAGGCCCCAAGCCAAGCCAAGCCAAGCAAGCAAAGCACAACTCAACGACATGCTCTATGTATGTACACACCGACATACAAGTGCGTGCATTTCGTGCAGAGGTATGTTCAGGGCGAGCTAGAAACACGCAACGGAGGCATACGGCTAGGGTCAAATGCTTTCGCGACTACGAGTAAGTCGTGCAAGATTCATAACGTGACTACATGTCATGGCTTTTCGAGCAATATTTCTTGGGGAATACTTTTTGTACTCGGCGCACCCCTCGGCATACTCGTCGACGATCTGGCCACGATGAAGCCCATGCTCCTGGAAGGAGGCAACCCTAAACCCTATAAACCCTAAATTTGTCCGTGGTCTTCTTTAATTCAACGCCGCACATGGCCACTTCGGAGACCCTGTGGTCTGCGCGATGTTCTATGGAACTAACGGGGGGTGTCTGGCCTCAAGGCATATAAGTATGCTAAGAATGCCTAGGGCCTGCATCGTAGACTGTGACCGGTTGGAAATCCCCTAAACCCTAAACCCTCAACCCTCAACCCTAAACCCTAAACCCTCAACCCTAAACCCTAAACCCTAAACCCTCCTCAAAAACGGAGGCACCGGCTCAGGCGGTCTTCTGATTCTGGCGAGTTGCCACTGCCACGGGTGCTACGAGGACGAAGAGGAGCCAAGATATTGTATGATCCTGTAGTTGTCAGTCTCACACTGCAGTGACTGCAGCTTCTAGAGAGAGTTCGAACAATACTCATGAACCCGAAACCCTAAACTAAACCCTACTTGAAACTAGATTTTGACCCTCGGCCCTCAACCCTAAATCCTAAACCCTCAACCTTACCAGGACCCCGCCCCCCCAAGGAGCCCTCAAAAGGGTCTCGTTTAGGGTGAGTCAGCCTTTAGGACGTCTTGACGTTGGGCTTTGGCTTCAGGGCTTAAGGATTTTCTGGGGGTTGATAGCTTCAGGGATTCAGGGGTTTAGGGTTTTGAGTCAGGGACGGCGGGTTTGGTATGTAGGCCGGCTACTATAGATTCAGGCTTCGACGCAGAGGCCTTGAACGTCCGGATCCTTCGTGTACGTTTCCGGACCAAGGCTGCAGAGGCCACTAAGATTGCAGAATTCTCAGACCCTACACCGCTCAACCCTTCTAGACAGTACGCCCGGAAATCCTCCCTTAATTCCCAAATAATGTTACCTTGAAGGGTTCCTGATTATGATTTCGTTAGGCAGGTAACGTCTAAGCGTCCTTGTCGGGCGCCAAGACCTCCGTGCCATCGCCCAGCCGGGAGGGACTGTGAGCCTAGTCTCTGGGTGATTGTTAGGGTTTGGGGGTTTTGGGTTGTTCAGGAGTTTTGGGTTTAGGGATTCACCTGAACCCTGAACCCTAAACCGGTTGAGGGTTTAAGCTTTCGGGTTTAGGGGATTCGTTGTTTGCCGATAGTCTTAGTCTACGGTAAGGCTTGGGAGGGTGTGGGGTCTAGGGCTTATACGACGCATAGGTTTTAGATATAACTTGTGCCAGTCAAGGTTTAGGACCGTTTAGGACCGGGCTCATAAGGATAGTGCAATCGAAGGCCTTGGGGGTTGGGGATTTGGGCTTGAGCAAAGGCCTCCCATTCCAATAGATCCTGAAAAAACCGTTTAGAACAGTCTGCCTTACAGAATCCTGAAATCCGACTCGAAATCACTACCATCACCCGAAACACAGTACCTGTTGCTATTTTCCCCGTTTTGTCATCTTGATAACGGTCATGGATATCATCACTGATTCACCATCATCATCGCCGGCATCATCACCAGCATCATTATCATCCTCATCAACATCAGCATGGAGCGGTTAGTATTCCTTGCAGTACTGAAAGCTATCTGGCTGGAAGGTGTGTAACTGTGTATGCTTACATGTATATTAAACATGTAGATAGGAACAAAGCAAGATAGATAGATCGATAGTTAGATTGAGAGATAGATGGATCGAGCGGTAGGCACATAGACAGATATATACATATATCGGTCTACTCATGCATGCATTTTGTACGCACATATTAAAGATATGTGTACATATATATATATATATACACGTACAATATATATATATATATGTATATATATATATATATATATGTATATATATATATATATACATACATACATACATACATACATACATACATACATACATACATACATACATACATACAGACAGACACACATACAC